AGGCCTCAGTGAACGGGGCAGACAATGGAATGAGGGAATAAGGTGGACAAATTATAGCAGAAAAGTGGAGTAGCAGACATGAGGCAGAGATGGTAAGCTAGTCTTTAGTAGAGACAGCTCTGAAACTATATTTAAAAAAAAAAAAGCAGAGGTCATTGCTAATGGTGTATAACGATTTAAAAGACACAGTAGTCCTAGTGCCATATTTAGATTGAATTAAATTTGTTCTGGTCTGTCCACTCATGTCAGATTTGAGGACACAGACCTCTAGAACCAAAAATAGCAGGTTATACCATGGTAACTATCCTTACTTTCCTATTGACTTAGGCTAAAATCCTGTATTACTTACATTGTCTTACTATGACTGATCTTAATTGTATCTGAATCATAAGACTATTGGTTGGCCTTGACTGATTCTATTTGAAATTGGTATGCTTGTTAGAATCAACCCTAAAAGTAGAGGAAACTACTCTGAGCATGACAAGATGTAAAGGATATCCATATTGGTATGAATCAGTAACAGCTCTCAAATACTACAATGCAGTCAAAGTTAAGTTTTTATAAAAATAGGTGATAGTATGTTTAACTATAATAAGCCAGTGTTGTGGACAAATCTATTGAAAGTAACAAGAGAAAACATAGTAGCTACAGAAGATCATTTATATTGTAGTTTTATATGTCTTATCCATTGCATGTTTTTCTAGGAAATTGTTTTGCTGTCTTGTTATGACTTGGTTTTCCCTATAATACAGAGAGGACAGGAACAAATACTCTGAGGAAGAGACACTGAGAAACCCGAGGCTTATTTTGCAGCATTATAATATAAATTCTAGCAATCTATTGTTTGCTGATTAGAATGACATTGGACTGGTTTCTTCAGTTCAACTTCAGCATATGCAGAGATGGGGACGGCTATCACAAAGAGAATGAGAGATGCGATGGTAGTTGCTATTGTCTTCCCTAATTTGGAACTTGAGGACCTAAAAAGACTTCATCATCCTGTAATGATTTGATTAGTTCTATAATATGCAATAAGTATATAAAGTGGGTGAAGATAGGGACAACTATTTGTAAGAAGCTAGAGACAGTTAGATAATGAAGATCTCCAGTGGACTTGCTTTGAAATCTGTATTTCTTTAAATTGTTTTTTATTTTTTTTTTAAATGTTCTGTTCTGTTTTGATATGGTTAATCTTACCCTCTTTGAGATGTAAAACAAATGTGTAAGACTGATAATCATATTACGGAGCTTTTGTTCGATCATAGAGCAGAATGGTTTGTAGGGTCCCTTTTTTGAATGTCATTCTAAATACTTTAATTCTATAACCTGAACAGCTATTTCGAAGATGACAATTTGTAACTTATCAACCGGCAATTTCTTACCTTTTGTTTGTCTGTAATTTTGTATTATTTCTACCCTTTTTTTTTTTATCTCCATGTATTTTTTTTTCGTTTCCTTTTCTTTAAATAAAAAAAATAATAATAATAAAAAAAACAAAGCACTAATAACTCAGTAAAAAAAGACAGCCCAATTAAAAGATAGATGGGCAGGGAGACACGGCCAGACCCATCCCTGTGCACCGACACCACTGGAGACCTTGCCTCCCTTACGTGACCAGGGCAGGCAGGGAGAAATAGCCAGACATCCCTTATGTGTCCACAGGCTGCCATTGAAAACCCCTGCTTCTTTTGGGCAACTAGCACCCACCAAGAGAATTAGACAAACACATCTGTGAGTCCCTGCCACCATCGGGGGAATCCCAATGTAGACATGCAGACTGAGAAAGTAGCCCCACCACTAAGCACCCCTGGTCATTGAAGAAACCTCAGGGTAGCTGCATCGGTCTGGAGAAGCTCACCTCATGTCCTCCTACCTCCCTAGGAACCTTAGTTCAGAGAAACCCAGGTGCCTGGCCCATTCCGCTACACTTAGGCAGGGCAGCCAATGTGGGAAATGCCTGGAACTCCATAACTGGCTTGTTGGGAGGAACCCAGAAGAATGCCAAGATGAACAAGCAAAAGGCAATCTCAGACTCCAGTCCACACAGAACAACTCTGCGACATATGGTCATGGAAGAAAATGGAAGTAACACACCTGAAATTTCTGAGAGGATAGCAACTGAAGTAAAGAAACAACTTCGTGAGACTAATCAGATCAAAAATATCTCAGGTAAAAAAAGAAATCACAGTGAAATAATTGCTCAGCATATCTAAAGGTGACACAGATTAAAAAAAAGAGCATAATAAAATGATGGAAACCTTGAATGAAATATAGGAAGGAATTACAATGCATGAAACAGATTCAAAAAGATATCCAGGAAATTATAAACTCCATCAAAAACTGGCAAAACTACCTGAAAGAGACTGAAGATATACTTTCAGACCTTAAAGATAGGTCTGCAGCTTGCAATTGCAAAAGGAAAGATCTTTTAAAAATAACAAGGAACCAGGAAGTAACAATTCAAAGGTTGCAAGATGACACAAAGAAAAATAACTTAAGAGTGCTAGGTATGAGCAAAAAAGCACAGATCGACATAAATGAAATAAAAAGACTTTACTGCCGGGGATTTAGCTCAGTGGCATAAGCACCTGCCTGGCAAGTGTGAGGTCATGAATTCAATCCCCAATACCAAAAAAAAAAAAAAGTATTTACAAAAATAATAGCAGAAAACTTCTCAAGCATGGGAAAATGATCTGGCATACAGATAAGTAAGATATACAGAACTCCAACTAGCCATAAATCTACCCCAGACAAATAATAATTAAGATCCCAGAAATTCAGCAGAACAGAATATTAAAAGCTGTTAGAGAAAAGAAACCAATTAGCTTAGAGAAAAGAAAACCCATCAGATTTATAGCAGACTTCTCAACACAAACCATGAAGTCAAGAAGAGCCTGGAGTGAAGTGTTTGAAGTTCTAAAAGAAAATAACTTGAATCCAGACTGATGTACCCTGCAAAATTATCTTGCAAAATTGATGGATTACTAAGATTCTTCCATGATGAAGAACAACAGAAGGAATTCATGACCATCACACTAACTCTACAAAGGGTGCTGAAGGATATTCTAGAGAGAGATAAAGATGACCATAGTTCCAGGAACAGCAGGAGAGGGGGACTGCCAAACAAGACAGGAAACTGAATGAAGGAAAAAGTGGAGGACCAACAGCTGGAGGATAGCATGGTAGAGATCAACCAATGCATGCCAGTTGTAACCATTAAGGCAGATGGTCTTAATTCAGCAATAAAAAAAAACACAGGGAGAGTGGATCAAGAAACAAAATCCATCAATATACTGTATACAAGACACACATTTAACTTAAAAGGAAATTCTTAGACTGAAAATCAAAGAGAAAACAATTGTTCCATGTGACAAGAGACCACAAAAAAGCAAGGGTAATTTGCCTATCAATCACAGAATGGATAAGAAATATATAGTATTTTCACACAATGCAAAGCTAATCAGCTATGAAGTAGGATAATCCTGAGGCTGTTGTAAGTAAATGGGTACAACTGGAGATCATATTCTTGGATGAAATGGTTTGGACTCATACCGGTGAACACAGAGTTATCTCCCCAGCAGAAAAACTGAAGAAGTTAGTATGATATTATGATATATTACAACAGATATTATGAAAGTGATATGGGAAGAAACGCCAGAAAGGGAAAGTGGCACCACTGTTAATTTCCTATTTTCTTGTTTTGAATTCTGGTATTGTTTTCATAATTTTGTTACATTTGATTTTATTCTATTTTGTTCTGTTAGATTTTACTGTGTCTGATGGTATGGGCAGCTATTTTGAAGATAACGAGATGCATTATGGTAACCATTGTTAATTTCCTATTATCTTGTTTTGAAGTCCAATAATGCTTTCATTCTTTTGGTTTAATTGGTTTTATTTGATTTTATTATGTGTGATAGTATGGACAGCTATTTTAAAGAAAATAAGAGACATGGTAGTCACTGTTCACTTCCTATTATTTTGTTTTGAAGTCCAGTAATGCTTTTATTCTTTTGATTGATTTTAGTCTGTTTTGTATTGTCTGATTTTATTATGTGTGAAGGTATGGATAGCTATTTTGAAGAAAACAAGAGACATTATGATAGCCATTACTGATTTCCTATTATCTTGTTTTGAAGTCCTGTAATGCTTTCATTCTTTTGCTCTAACTCTACAAAGGATGCTGAAAACAATGCTTTGATTGGTTTTAGTCTGTTTTGTTTTGTTTGGTTTTATTATGTGTGAAGGTAAGGACAGCTACTTCGAAGAAAACAAGAGACATTGTGGTAGCCACTGTTGAGTTCCTATTGTTTTGTTTTTAAGTCCTGTATTGCTTGCATTGTTGTGCTCTGATTTTCTTTATTATGTTTTGTTTGGTTTGATTTGGTTTTAGTCTCTTTAACATAAAAAAAAAGGACAGACAAAATAAGTTTGGCATGGTGGCATATGCCTATAAACCCAGCAGTTAGGAGTTGAGGCAGGAGGATCACATTATGTGATCACATTTTGTTTTGAAGACCTGTAATGCTTTCATTCTTTTGGTTTGACTGGTCTGAAGCTAGCCTGGACTATATGACAAGACCCCATCTCAAAAAACAAAAAAATACAAAATGGACAAAGGTTCCAAATAGACATTTTGCCAAAGATATTCAAAGTACCAATAAACACATGAACAGATGCTCAAAATCATCAGTCATAAGTAAAATGCAAATCAAAACCATGAGACATTTCACTACTCACCCAACATGGAAAGACAGGTGGCAAGTGTGGCTGGGTAAAGATGTGCTAAAATTGGAACCCTGAACATTATTCATGTGAACGTAAAATATGACAGCAACAACAACATTGGCAAACAATGCATTTCAAACATTTCTTCATTAACAGAAGATGGAATAATAGGAATAACCATTATGAAAACAGCTAGAAAATTGAACTTTTGACAATATTTAAATAAACAGTTAAATATTATATAAGCAACATTAGATTAAGTCTAAACCAACCTTGCAATGGAAAGCGAAATGTTTTCATTTCTTCCACTGTTAGAAGGCAGTTGATCAAGTCTACTTTATTAGAGCCATACTTTTGAATGATGGGGTTATCTTGCAGGTTGATATTGGCCTTTGAACTAGCAGAAGGTAAAGATCCTATAACAAGAAAGAATTAAATATATATATTGGAATGTATATGTAAGAATTTCAGAGGACATAATTCCTAATGCATGGGGTCTTACAATCTAATATAGTTTTAAAAACACAAAGAAAATAATAGAAGAATACATTTCAGCTTCAAGTGGTGAGAGATATGTCAATAAAGTAATAGAGCAAGGGATATAGCTCAGTGGCACAGCATTTGCCTGGCAAGTAAAAGGTCCTGAGTTCAATCCCTAATACCAAAAAAAAGAAAGTAAAAGATTAGTTGAATCTTGAGGAAAAGGCAGAATTTAGATAGCTGGTATGTTACACCTATCCCTAATAATGCCTGCCCACTCCCAACAGCCATTTTTACTAAATTGGTACCATTGCTAACCATCTACTCAAGCAGCCTGTCCCTTAACCAGCACCCATCAGTTTTTAATTAAGGGTGTGGACCTAGCTAAAAACACTCTTGTACAGAATGAATAATGACTTGCTATTCCTTGTCAATATGGAACAATGGAATTAACTACACTGACTATACAACCTGCTTCTAGAATTTTAACTAGAAAAATAAATTGCTATGCTAGTGCACACTTGTGATCCCAGAACTCTGGAATCCTGAGGCAGAGGACTGATTTTGAACCCAGCCTGGGCAACTTAAGAAAAACCTTGACTCAAAATAAAAAGTAAAAAGGCTGGGGATGTAGCTTAGTGGGAAGGTTTGATAGAAAGTAGAAAAAGAAAAAAAGACCTAAAATGGAACGTAAAAAACATGGATGAGAGAAAAGGACAAAAATAAATTATAGATTAGTGTATGTGGCAGGTTCAAGTCTGAACTTTAGTCCATCATTCAATACATAATGGAGAGCAAAAGAAAGTTCCTGAGAGGAGAAATGACAGAAGAAATATAGTGAAAATGAAGTACAATGAAACTAGAAAATGTTTTCCAAAAGAATTATGACTAGATACTGGGTTAAGATGGTAGAAGGAATGAAGGAAGAGCAATATATCAAGAGAAATATTTTACGAGAACTGATACTGTGTGGTGACAATAAATTCAGTTTAAAAAACATTTACTTATGATTGCTTATTATATGTTTGGCAATGCTCTAGTCACTAAGAATTCCCTAATAAACACAACCAACAAAACTTCCTACGAAACTGAAATTCTAGGTGACGATAGACAGTAAACAAGCATTTAACGTAGCAGATGGGGGCATAAGAGCTACAAAGGAAAATAATGGAGGAAAAGGAGAAGGAAATGGGTTACTGTCATATATTTATATATAGTGATCATGGAAGGTCTCTGACAAAGTGGTTTCTTAATAGACTTACAGAAAGGGAATGAGATTGAGGATAGACGAAAGAAAATTTAAAATTCAAGACTAGCATATTACAGGAAAATATACTAACAGAAGGGGTCTACAAAAGGGAGCTCATTATTTGGGAATGAAAAACATGTTTTTAGCTATGCTAAGCATAAGGGGACAGTGGAATATCTAGGCAATAATGTACAAAGACAACTAAAAATATACGCTTGTAACCTATAACATCAGATTTAGAGATAACAAAAAAGGTGTCATCTACACCCGTATCTATACCTTATTGGAATGAAGGACAAGGCATATATCAAGAGAAATATTTATAAGAAGAACTGATACTGTGTGGTGACAAAACAATTCAGTTTAAAAAATATTTACTGGGGCTGGGGATTTAGCTCAGTGGCATAAGCACCTGCCTTGCAAGTGTGTGGTCGTGTGTGAGTTTGATCCCTGGTACCGATAAAAATGAAAAAGACAAAAAAAAAAAAAATTTCACTTATGATTGCTTATTATATGTTTGACAATGCTGTAGTCACTAGAAATTCCCTAATAAACCAACAAAACTTATGAAACTGAAATTCTAGGTGATGACAGACAGTAAACAAGCGTTTTATATAGCAGATGGGGGCATAAGGGAAAGTTGGGAAAAACAGATAAAGACTCCAAAAGATCAGCGTGTTACAGACTATGTCTTGGGGATTTTGATATTTAGAATAAAAGATGAAGCAAAGTCTTTAGGAGAATAAAGAAGTAGCCAAACCTCTCTGGCTCCTAAATGCCAACAGAGTAAAATCCAAAGTCCTTATGTTCTGCATTCAAAGCCTATAGGATGTCTCATTAATTTGCCTCTCTAGCCTCAACTCTCACCACTACCTCTTCCTCCTATTCTCCTCAGCTTATTCAGTAATCTATATTCTTTGGCCATGTCAAATTGCTTTTTCCTTGTTTTTCACAGCTCAAGACTTTGACTTGAACCTAAAATCTAAATAATAACTATTCTGTTACTTACCCAAAGGCTAGAAGATAAAACACAGTATATGTTAAACTGAACACTGATACAGATCAAATATGGGTATCTACTGACCAAAGAAGGAGAGGGAAGTAATGAAAAACTGGGAAATTAAAAGCTGCTGCTGAGACAGAAGATAATAGGAAGCACAATTCTCAATAGTTACTCCTTAGTTCAGTGCAATTTTGTTTTGTTTGGCTGGCTAGTTGGCTGGTTGAGATGTCTCACTATGCACTTCATGCTGGCCTTGAACTCATCATGTAACCCAAGCTGGCCTTAAGCTCTCAAGAGAGCTTCTTGCCACAGCCTCCCTAGTTCTGGGATTACAAATGTGCACCACCACACCCAGCTGCTTTAGTACATTATTAGTTTCTTTTAAAACAATATTGGGGATTGAACCCAGTAACTCTGTACTGAGCAACATCCCTAGCCTCTTTTTATTTTTCATTTTGAGACAAGGTCTCCCTAAATTGCTCAGGCTGAGCTCAAACTGGGAATCCTCCTACTATAGACTTCCAGGGTGCTCAGTTTATAGGTATGCATCACTATATCTAGCTATCAGATGGTTTCTGAGACATGAACTCTGCCTATGATTTCTGCTAACCTCTCTAGGTCCCTGCCAATTTTTCCTTTTAAACAATTGTTTTTCTGCTTAAGTCAGTCAGAATTGAATTTTGTTGCTTACAATAAATAAATCTGACTCATAAACCTATACATAAAAGCAATGGGAAAAGCATCAAACCAGTCACAATCTTACCTTCACTATTCTTAGGCACATCTCCAGCTGTTTTCTTCTGCAGGCCAATGATATCAGCTAGAAAATTGGATGATGGAGCAGGCAAGCAGAATTTCTGAAAAAAGTATTAAAAAGTTCTTTCAAAAATGGTTGACAATAGTAGTACTGAAAAGTCTGTACTTGTTAGTTCAGTGCTATCAAAGGTCTAGACCTTAACTGCATTTTAAAATAAGAACTCTTTCCTTAATATGGAAAAGTGCCTACATAAATGAAGCCACATTTACTGCCACCATTATCCCCTAGAATTTTTCTTTTGTTTCTCTCACTGTGCTTTGTACAGAAATGTACAATGTAAAGAAAGAAAGTTCCTTATATTTTTCAAGTCATTTCCGTACCTACCGTTTCACTTTACAGCATTCCAATTAATTGTGACAGAAGATACACTAGGGAAAAAAGTTGAGCGTTCCAGCCTTAGACTCACCTAGGCTTAACTTGTATAGCATTTACTAGCTGTAACTTAAATTTTCTTATGCATGAAATAGGATTTAAAACACTTTCCAATTAAAGGTGATGTACACCACATGATTAATATTGGGACTGACATATAGAAGGTGCTCAGTAAGTGGAAATAATAAAGAAAATGAGGACTGAGTAAGGGAGATTAAATTAGGGCCCATCATCTGAAATGCCTTTAAGAGTACACAGATAAACCAGAGCACTAGGGAATGGAGGAGGCTAGAGGAATATAGAGATGACATGCCTCTTGCCAAGATTACATTTGATGTTCAGCTCCAGATAATGTTCTAAGGATGGCCAGTCTTGTGATTTTTTTTTTTTTTGAAGAGGTAGAAAAACATTCTTTTTATATAAATTTTACAGTGTCATAAAATATCATACATCAAATAAAACAGGACATTATCAACCCAGCAACTGGGTTGTAATTTGGGACTAAGTGTTTTGCCTAAATTACCAAAGACAAATCAGAGACAATCTAATTTCAGCATGAGCTGACTTTGTTTTCTATATTCTCTGTCACTTGTTCAGCTAGGTTACCATGAAGTGTATTCTCAGATACATGCACTAGTCTCTGGATAGGTTTACAAAGTCTTCCTGACTTACGTGTCTGAATGTTTTTCGGAGAAATTCGAACTCCATATAGAATTTGTAGAAATGCAGCTGGCTCATTCCTTGAAGAATAAAAATCACCACATTTTTTAGGTGGTTTTGGTGAAAAATCTGGCACCAACTGTTGAAAAATCAGAACAACACAGTTAAAAATAAAACCCTCAAGTCAGTTACAGGCATTCACAAGGGAAGCATAGAAAGGACAGCTAATTAAATTTTTCGTCATCACTTTCTCTGCCTAGAACTGGAAGCATTATTACTACAGAGAAGTCAAATAAAGATCTCTTGAGATAAATATTTACCACAATCAAATCAAGTAAAATACCAAGTGAAAAGTATGCATTTAAGTCTATTGTTCTTCTAAAATTTGTTTTAAATCAGAACTAAGCTTATTTTATTAAATACACTTTTCCCCTCTTAAGACTTATCTCCAAGAGCCCAAACTACTCTGCAGCCCTAAATCAGCTAATCAAATGGCTACCTCCAACTGTGGATAAACTGACAGACTGATAGTACTTACTGATGAGAAAGATTGTTTTTGAGTTACCTAGCCAATTCATAACAATTTCCTCTAAGGAAATGTATGCATTTGAAAATATCTTCATTGACACATAAAAAAGTAATTTTCAAATGGGTATGGTAGTGCATGCCTGTAATCCCAAGACTATGGGAGGCTGATATAGAAGGATCACATGTTCAAGCCCCATCTGGACAACTTAGCAACTTAGTGAGACCCTGCCGCAAAATATAACATGGCTTAGAGCAAAGGCTTAGTGTTTAATTGCCAGTACAAAACAAAACAAAACAAAAACTCAAAAAACAGACATCCAATAAGGGCACTGACAATATTAAGATAGTAAAATTCTCTTAGCTTTTCATCTGTAAAAGGAAGAAAAGACTGACTAGAATTCTTAACATCATTTATTGTTATATTATGATTTCAACTGGGTATATACTAGGGGAAAGACACTGAGTCTATATGAGGGAAGAAAAGGATTGAAATTATTAACTATCTTATTTCAACTGGGTTTGTACACTAGGGAAGGAAATAAAATATCTACAGTGACTAGACAAATACTGTTAATAAGTAAGACAGGGAGGACACTGGAGTATACATACCCTACTTAAAGAGAAAACCATTCATCTTTGACAAATTGTTTCCAAGTGGGAATATAAGGACAATTGTTAAAACATCTTCATTTTTTGAAGAAGTCAAAAAATCTGAGTTTCTATTAAAAAATTTCCAAATTTAGTTATTGATAGCCTTTTTTTTTTTTTAATTTAGAGCATGCTACATGGCAAACAGATTTTATCAGTAAGCCATATATGGCTCACCAGACACCAATTTGAAACTTCTGTCTACACATACTATTTAAATTCATCTCATACCTGGGTCTAGAAATATTGGATTTTCCAAGAACTGCATACTTCAGCAATTCACACAGTTGGCCATGAGTTATTTCACAATTACCAGCAAATAAAATGGTAGATAAGCGAGCTTTCTGCAAAGTAAATTGGGGCAGAGAAAACTATATAATCAGAAAAGGTAACAAAGCAAAGCAAGTTATTATTCTGGTTTCTGATTGTTTTAACATATGTACAAACAAGGGGCCAAGGATATAGTTCAGTGGCACAAGCGCCTGCCTGACAAGCATGAGGTTGTGAGTTCGATCCCTAGTACCAAAGAATGGGAAAAAACATACGCAGGTTCTAATTAATTGAAAATCAAGGTCTAAAACAGTAACTTGACTAGCCAGGCATTGGGTCACATACCTATAATCCCAACACTTTGAGAGACTGAGGTTGGGATTATAGGCCACATGCCTATAATCCCAACTCTCTGAGAGGCTGAGGCAATTTGAGCCTAGTCTGGACAGCTGTCTTAAAATAAAAAATAAGAGAAAAAAGTGGAGCGGTAGCTTAGTGAAGCCATTTTCAGCCCAAAGCACCACCACCAAACAACAACAAAAAAGGCTTAACTTAAGATGACCTATGGTACAATGTTATTAAAAGAATATTTAATAAACACAGATACAGAACCTGAGTTATGTTTGGTGATGTGCTAGTAATGATAGGATGAATAAAATGATTCATATGTCAAAGAATCTATTCCACAAGGAAAAAAACATAACAATAATTCCAATACAGTAAGGATATATCCTATTATAAATGTGTGTAAATAAACAGGCTATCTGTCTTAAGGATTAGAGAGTTTTGGCAATGACTTTACTGAAATGAAAACACTGAGCTCTGAAAATGAGTCTGTCAAACTGAAGGGAATGTTCTGTCCAAACACGTAGTATGGCTTAGCTGAAGCTGTGGAGTCAAGATTGAATGTTGCAAAGTCCTAGCAGTGAGGGTAGGAAAGAAGGGACCAGATCATACATCAATATAGTCTAAAATGAAGTCAGAATTTTGCCTATGGCAACAGAAGTGAAGTTTCACATCTCCTTAAAAAGCTTTGCACTAGCTATAATACTAACACTCAAGAGGTCAAACCAATAGGATCTTGAGTCAAATTTTAAAAGCACATGTGTGTGTGTGGGGGGGGGGGTGTTAATTATATTTGGTTATTAGTTTGTGCTTGTTAAAAAACTCAGATAATAGACAAAGATAAAACAGATGACAGATACATACAGTAATAGATAAATATTAAAGCCACCTGTACATCTCAGAGATGATTAACTCTTTTATTTTTCTCTGGGAAATAGTAGAGTATAAGGGTTAGGTGCTAAAGCCCAGGAGTCACATTACTCAAATCCAAACATCATCGTGGACAAGTGCCTTAACCTTTCTAAGATTCAGTTTTTTTATCTAAAGTAATTGTAATTCTCTCATGTTATTATTGGGAAGATCAGTGAGACAGTCCTAGTGCTAATGGAGCTATTACTTGACATAAGTATTTAATAAGCATTAGATATTATTACTTATTCCCCTTATAGCCTAAGCTAATATTGTGTATTTACTTCTACACAGACATAAGTCTGAGCACTTTACATGTATTAAGTCATTTAATTTTATAATTCTTTTTAAATAAATACTAGTATTATCCCCATTTTGCAATAAAGAAATGAATAAATAAGACTAGGGGTAGAGGGTAGCAGACACTGCTCCTGATATTCTGGAGACTGAAGCAGAAGGATTGCAAGTTGAAGGCTACCCTAGGCAAATTAGTGAGGCCTTGTGTCAGGGAAAAAAAAAAAAACAAAGGAATAGGGATGTAGTTCAGTGTTCTCTAAGCTCAACCTCCACCCTCTCAAAAAAAGAAACAGTGCAATTAGAATGCTGTTGACTCCAAAGCCCAAGATTTTTTTCATCTTTATTCCATACTGCTCCTGAATGATTTTACCATCTATTCTATTTTATATCCAACTCCCTATCCCCAAGTTAATCTGTAATATCTTTCCACATCAGTTAAATTTAACATTAATTTTAATACTTGAATAATTTAATATTTACAGAAAATGTGTAACAAATCTCAAGGAAATTCTCTATTGATGACACTTTTTAAAAATTATGAACAATAAAAAGATTATGAACTATATTATTTTTTTGTTTGGGATTTTTTGTTTTGTTTTTGGTACCAGGAATCAAACTCAAGACCTCATGCTTGCCAGGGAGGCATTGTGTTGCTAAGCTAATATCCCTTGTCCTACAAACAATATTATGAGGAACACCCTTAACAGCATTCTTATACACCCATCTAATCATTCTGTCAGGATAAATTCATGGGCAAAACTGTTTGAAGAAGGCCTAACAACTAAATTTAGCATGATTCTAGACTGCATTGTACTGCTGAACAGAATTAAACAACTAGAGAAACTTCCATGGGACCTCAGGATTAGATGGCAGCAATATATCTAAGTTAAATTTCCTGGGTCTGATGATTACATTGTGATTATGTAGGTCTATTTGTAGCAAATACACAAATATATCTGGGGGCAGAGGAGAAAAGTGGAAAACATTTAGGTCACCAACTATATACATTTAAGTGCTGGCTGAAGGGCCGAGGACAGTCCGTATCTTTGCAACCTTACTGTTAAGTGTGAGGTTGTTTCAAAACTAAAGTGTGAGTAAATGTCCTTAAAATTTTGTAGTATGTTAACCTTAAATTTTTTCGTTGTTGTTCATTGATGGGTACAAAACTGCAATCTCATTTTAACAAAAATTCTTTCATAGCACTAGTCTAACATACTATACTTATTTGTATAATTCTGGTCTAACATACGATATAAGCTTACTTATACAATTTGTACCTACTGTTTATTTTTTGTCTAATCACTAAGAGGAGAAGACTAACTACGGCAATGATCTTAACGTTTACTAATTGATAATGCCCAAGTCCTTAAATCTGTGCCCAAAGCACCTGGCAGACAAAACCCTGATGAATGATTGACGGAATGAATGAAGTATGTTAACTCTTAATAAATGTCAGAGATGCCAGCTGTGAACTGTCACTAACAGCCTTGAGGTAGGTGCTATTAATGTCAGAATTCTCATTTTTTCCCAGATCAGACAGCAATTTCGGTGAGAATCAGGGACGCTGAGTATGATGCGTGTCCGGAACCCTGAAGGTGGGTGGGGCTCCCCGCTGCTTACCTTAGCCTCGGGCTGCATGTCCTCCTGGGCCCAGCGGGCTCTCCTCGTCTCTGTCGCCCGGACCAGCTGGTTGGGGACCTGTCTCCTCTTCTGGCCCTTTCTGGGATGCCCCCCGGTCCTTTCCTTCTCTGTCTCCATGAAGCTGTGGAGAAAAATCTGCCAAAACTGAGGAAACGCCAGGCACCTGACAGCTTCTAACCTTTCTCGGCTTCTCTCCTTAATTCACTGCGTACAGTGCCCTCCCAACCCACCCTGAGCACCGAGGGCACCAGCGGATCAGTCTCCGCCCGCGGGCGCCACAGCCGCGGCGCAATAACCGTCGGCGTCCGAGGCCAGATTCCAAACGGCTTCTCAGCCGCCCAACCCCCTCCGCTCTCTGTTAAAAACAAAAGGGGGCGCTACCGAGCGGCTTCCCCGCCTAAAACCACTCCCCGCGCGCGCGAGTCCTGGTAACAAGGAAGACAAGCAGGGCGGGAAGGACACCCAGCCGCCGCCTCAGTCACAACGTGAGGAGCCGACATCACCGCCTCCTCCGCTGCGCGGAGTGTTTGAACAGACCGGAAGTGCACCGACCGACTTCCGGCGGTTGGAATTCCGACAGCAGGAAGTGTCAGGGATGGCGACCAAGCGTCTGGCGCGGTACGCGGCAGGGATCCCGGCGGGAGGTTGCTTTGGTCTCTATTCTGTGCAGCCTTGGCGTCTCTGACTGCACTGAAAGGTCCTTCCCTGGATCTCGGTCTCCAGACCTCGTACACCTGAGCGTAGAAAGGTGGAAAGTGCCTGAAGAACCCTGAGTCTGGTCTGTGTGACCCAAAGCCAGTGCCTGACCCTTCTGAACTCTGGGGAGCGCCTGGGCGTGACGGTCTCAGGCAGGTTGGCCTCCCCTCTTCCAAGAACACTAAAGTTGTATTCTTTCACGAACGACCCAGTTGGTTTTTTAATCTATCAAATATGTATAGTAAAAATGTCTTACCTCCTAAGATTTGCTGGCCAAATGAGGCCTCCGTGCATCTTAGTTTAGTACCTGCTGTGTAGTAAGCAATAAATGCTAGCTGCTACTCCCAAACGCCTCCACTTTCTCACACCTCTTTAAAAACTACAAGGTGTCTGTTTACTTTAAACTACCCGCTCACAAAGTTTTCTCACCTGCACTTAAAACCTCAGTGAACTCTTCCCTTTCTTTGAACTCTGGCATATGGTCTTTGGGGGGCCTGTATCATAGGAAACCACCTTGCAATGATTTCATGGATTTTTTTTCTCTAGAGTTTTTAAATTTCTGGAAGATATTCTAGGACCACGTACTATGTTTGTTCTTATGTTTTCAAAACTATGTTATATATGTTACAAGTACTGGAAAAGTACAAAAAGTAAAGGTTTCAGTGCATCTTTATAATCATTTGAGTTCCTCGGTATTACTGTAAAATACACTAAAAGGAGCAGATAAAATTACCTTCATTTACAATATGAGGCTATGCAAGTAAAATGACTACTAAAACCAAAAGCAGATGATAATACAAGAACCCAGATCTTTTGCTCCTAATATTCAATTCAATTTCTTTTCAATCACAACACGTAATGAACATTTTGCCATTTGTGCAGTACCAATAGTTGATAGCCTATACAAACAAGAGTGTGGATGGGTTTGTTGATCTTACTGGGTTGTTTTATATTTGTAGGCAGCTTGGATTAATTAGGAGAAAGTCATTTACACCAGCAAATGAAAATCTGGGGAGAAGCAAATCCAGTAAGTATTGTTCTTAGTTTCCTTACGTCTTATGGCCTTGCACTTTTGGCACTGGTAGAGCATAACACCCTAATCTTCTTGCAGAGCAATTATATGACTACATAATTGTCATTGATTTTGAGTCCACATGCTGGAATGATGGGAAGCACCACAATAGCCAGGAAATAAGTAAGTCTGGACTTCAAATGACTAAATTTAGCACTGGATGTGTTATTTTTAAAGTTAATATAAATCAGCCACCACTTTAAGAAAACATAGTCTATGAATTGGTAGTTTAATTCAAAACTTGGCTTTAATACAAGGGAACAAAATCTCTTGTAAAACCTCAATTGCATAGAAACTTAAAAAAGAAACCTTTGCAAAAACAATACATTTCAACCTCCAAATAGTCTTTGTAAATATAAATATACACAGAATTTCAATATTTTGATTTATTATTTAGCATAAATATTATAGCTTTAAATCACATTGCCTTGGTCATAAGGCTTTCACTGAAAAGTTTTTTTTAGTATGTACAATGTATCCTAAAATGTATCATGAGATGTTGGTACATGTACATCTGAAACTGTTCAATAATGCTATTATGACAAGAGTATGTATTTAATTTAGTGTGGCAACAGCATTAATTTAGAAATTGCTCAAGTGTCACTTTATTCTTTCATTTAGTTGAATTTCCAGCAGTATTGCTGAATACATCAACTGGAGAAATTGAATCTGAATTCCATACTTATGTTCAGCCTCAAGAACATCCAGTTCTTTCTGAATTTTGCATTGAATTGACAGGCATAAAGCAGGTATGATCACCAATTCAGTAATGAGTTTCAAAATGTGAATAAACATTACGCACATTTGGAATTAAACTATTAGGGAAAAAAATTTCCCTCCAAAAACCCACAGGAAATTTTTAAAAAATCAAAAAGATTACTATTACAAATACGAAAACCAAGCCTGAGGTGTATAGCTCAGTGATACAGTGCTTGACTACTATATTTGAAGGCCTTGGTTTTGTCCTCCAGCTTTGCAGGAAAAAAAGATCAAATTTATTTTATGGAAATAAATCAGATTTGTCTTTTATTTCTGTTAGTCTATACCAGTGATGGCAAATCTTTTAGTTTTCAGTGATAATAGCCTGCTGTGGCATGTGCACCACAGGTTTGCCACTACTGATCTGTATTATTTTTGTGTGATTTTAAATTTGTCAATCTAATATTTCCTACCTTACTGAGTTCCAATTATGATATTTCTGTATTTTAACATCTTTTCAGTAAAGCTTTTGCCAGTTCAAACTTCTTTATTAATCTTCCATCAATGTATAGTTGTAATATATACTTGATAATTGGTGGGATTGATTATTCAGTTCAGATTTTGTGACTCTCTAACCAGGCTCAGGTTGATGAAGGAGTCCCTCTGAAGATTTGCTTGTCTCAGTTCTGTAAATGGATTCATAAGATTCAGCAACAGAAGAAAATATTTTTTACTACTGGAATTTCAGAACCATCTACTTGCGAAGTAAAATTATGTGCATTTGTCACTTGGTCAGGTAAAACTGAGTTATGCCATGGGCAGCATTACCATTATGTAATTTTTATTTCTAATTTCATACTTGCTAACCTAGAATTAGACTTGTTAACCTCTTGAGCCAGAAAAAGAAATTCAGTTGCTAGCAGATTTCAACCAAAACAGTAAATTCATTCACAATTTTAATTTTATGGTTCTGAAGTAACTTAAATTTTTATTAAACTTTAGCTTTTAGAATCTACAGGTATTCCTCTTTCTTCTTTTAAATTCAGACAAACATAATTTAATAAAAACTTATGCTATTTATCGCAACCTTGAATAATGAATCTTCGTTCCGTTCATATCCTTTGCCTTTGTACTTTGATACTTACAAATATAGATATAAGAAAAACATGAACCACTTAAAGTAGTAAGTCTTTTGTATGACCATGATGCAGCACTGCTAGTAATGTAACAGTCAATGATAGCAGTGCTTTTACCCTTGATAGCATAGATTAATAGTTATATTTGGCCTCAAGTTGCTATAAAATGTGGTTTCTCAATTACACTAATGTTTTCTTAGCATACAGGAACTTCAGCCTTTGTAATTTTACCATCTTACTCTTCTTTCAGAACTAGGGTTTTGTTGAGTGTATAAGAAATCATTTTCAAGTCACTGATGTAATTTAATAGTAATATAAAGTATAAAGTAATATGAACTATATCAAATGTAGTTATTAACAGAGCAATTGGATCCTACTGTTCTATTTTATATCATCTTGTTCTGTTTTAATGTACTTAATGAAGACTGGGACTTGGGTGTTTGCCTGGAGTATGAATGTAAAAGAAAACAGCTGTTAAAACCAGTGTTCTTAAATTCTTGGATTGATCTCAGAGCAACTTACAAGGTAAGGGTCAAAGATAATATGGTTACTTTCCTTTTTTTGAAAAATAATTACATTTTATCTACACGTGAGTTTTCATAAATAAAATATTTTTCTGTGAGTTCTCACATAAATATTTGTTGTAAGGTATATTAAAATAACATAACAGAAGTAAGAACATTCCAAATCTAGTAGAAATAAAAATTACATGTTGTGTGTGGTGGCACACTCCTGTAATCTCAGCACACAGGAGACTGAGGTAGGAGATTTTCCATGAGTTTGAGACTAACTTGGGCTACTTAGTTCAAGATAAGCCTGAACTACACAGCGAGACCCTGTCTCAGAAATAAAATCATAAATAAAAAAAATACAAAAAATAATTGGTTAATGCAGAGCCTTTCAAACAGTAACTGTATATATATCTATATATATCATATTTTTAGATATGTCTTTCTTTCTTTGATTAGCTTTTCTACAGAAGAAAACCAAAAGGACTAAGTGGTGCCTTGCAGGAAGTAGGAATAGAATTCTCAGGAAGAGAACATTCTGGTTTGTATAAATTAAAAATCATTTTATATGTAAGGCAGGTGACATTTATAAAATCTTTCATGAGCCCCATTTCTTGGTAATACTATTAGTAAGGAATATCCTTCAACCTAAAAAGAAAACTTAGTCTGCAATTCAATTTATTTCTGATTTTTAAATGATCAATTTCATGGACTATTTAAAATAAAGACTGCCATCTAGTGGGTGTCCAGTTGCTAAAAAAATGTAAAGAATTTGCATAACCAAATCAAACTGAGATTTTAAAAATGCCCAAAATAATACAATGAACTAGTGAAAAGACTGAACAAGAATATTTGATTATTCAAAAATCATAGGACCTACACATTGCAGGTTACATTTTTGGAAACTTTAACCAATTTTTACATTCTTCTCCAAATACAAGAGATTTTTGTCTTTTATTGGTAATGCAGCCACAGATTTCTTTAAGACCAACTTATTTTTGTTAAAATTAGTAGATAATCATTAACAATGTGTCTGTTTCTCTTAAGCTGTAATTTTTTTTCTTGTCATTTCTGTACACAGTACCATTAAATTCGGCATTTGATATCTATTTCCTTAGGGTTGGATGATTCTCGGAATACTGCTCTTCTTGCTTGGAAAATGATCAAGGATGGTTGCCTAATGAAAATTACAAAGTCTTTGAACAAGGTTAGTGGTGTCTTGTCATTTTATTCTTTCATCTCAAACTCAGGTATTCATAGATTCATTGAAATGTGGATTTCATATATGTGATCACTTGTAAAACAAATGACTTTTTTTGTCATGTATACTGGACAAATTATAAATGTGCAGTTTCTAAAGATTGGATTTTCTGTGAAATCATAGGTTCCCAAGAAGAATCCCAACATTTTGGCCAGAAATCTGAATATAAATCAAGCTGAGGAAACATCTGCCTGCACCTTTAGCATCGAGAGTGTCAAAACATATGATAGGGAGTCTAAAAATTCAGTAAGTGCTGAGGAAAAAGTTCAAGTGAATTCTGTTTGTATGAATTCCCTCATAAAGGTACAGCAGCATCAGTTACTACCAGAGAGCAATATAAAAGCTGATCTTCACAGTATGAAAAGTTGCTCATCTGTTTTTAATACTAAGCCCTCTACTCCAGAACAGTTTCAATCTCACAGCATGAATTCACCTATCTATGTGCAGAAAAAAAGAAAAAATGAACATCTTGCATTTAATACCAAATCTAAGTCTTCACCATCTGGTTCAGAATTAGTACTTGTTTCTACCACCATTCCATCTGTTAATCATGTTTCTGATATGGAAATGAGTTCTACAGTTGACTGTTTACCTATGTTGGATGATTGGGAAGATATGGTTTTACTCCCAGCATCTCAGCCTGAGCAAAATACAGATCGTATACCTCCAATTAGTGGCACAGATTTAGATATTTCATTTAATTCTGGAGAAAGATGGATGAGTTTAAAAGAATCGAAAATGCCAAGTACTGAAAACCTTGAGGGCATCAAGGAAACTCCTCAAAAAAATGAAACTTGTAAGTCTTTTGTATACAAGAGCCCTCACACTACTGTTTATAATGTAAAACAAGCCAAAGATCCAGGTTTAAATGCTTCTACCTTTAAATTACCTGACTGCAAATCACATACCTTCAATAGTGTTAATGCCAATGCATCTCATTATTCAGCTTTGGGGAAACAGCCCCTTTTAGGTGGCACTAAAAGGAATTCATCTAATCTTCCAGCTTTTCCACCAGCAAAAAAACAGACATTCATTATTTATGAAGAGAAACCTACATCACTTGATTGCTCCTTAATAAGTTCTTCCTACAAGGTTTCCCCCTCTATATTAACAACTACAGTTAATCTACAAGAGCCTTGGAAGAGTGGAAAAATGACACCTCCCTTATGCAAGTGTGGCCGAAGATCTAAGAGACTTGTTGTTTCTAATAATGGACCAAACCATGGAAAAGTCTTCTATTGTTGCCCTATTGGGAAATACCAAGAAAACAGAAAACCTTGTGATTATTTTAAGTGGGAACAAACATTTCAAAAGGAAAAAATCAATAGCATAGTTCTGTCTCACTCCACAGGGGGAGTTGCTTTTAGTTCTCCAAAAACAAGCCATATTCATGACAAAAATTTAAGGTTTTCTACTAAATATTCTTTAAGACTCAGACCTTCCATGAGGAATTGATAAACTATCTTTACATCTAAAATATGCTTTTATTTTCAGTACTGAGGATTGAACCCAGGGTCTTCACAATGAGCCTCATCCGCAGCCATTTTTGGGCTTTGGGTTTTGGGTTTTGGTTTGTTTGTTTGTTTGTTTTGTTTTGTTGTCAGAGTCTCTTTAAGTCACTTGAGTTTTCCAGGTTGTCCTCAAACTTGTGATGCTTTTATCTCAGTCCCCCAGAATGCTGGCATTATAGGCTTGTGCCACCATTTCTGGCATGAGTATAACTTCTAGTGCAGGAAAGATTTAAGAAAAAAATACTATAGGGCTAGAAGTTATGGAGACTTAGCGTATCTCAGCTCTGTAGGCTCCATGGGAGAATTACATACACATAAACACACACACACACACCAAAGAGAAAAAAGAAATTTCATAACATTTTACTTTCATTTACCAGTAAATTTCATAACATTTTACTTTCATTTACCAGTTATCTAACATTCATCTTCTGTTTGTTCATGTATAAATCCTAATTGCTCCTTAAATTCTCAAATATTAATATTGCGATATCTTGTGCAATTTTTTTGTATTTCATATATTAATGCAAACTAATTTATGAATTTCTTTTCTTTTTTTTTTTTTTTGGTCTTTTTCCTTTTTTATTGGTACCGGGGATCGAACTCATGACTGCCTGCTTGCAAGGCAGGCGCTTATGCCACTGAGCTAAATCCCCAGCCCCCACTAATTTATGATTTATATTCTCTGTTGCTCTTGTGCTTGCTCGTGCTCTGTATTTGTCACTTTTGTTCTCCCTTTTCAGGGATGGAACACAGATCTTCACACATGGTAGGCAAGTGCTGGCTGGTGCTCTACCACTGAACTACATCTCCAGCCTAACATACATACTTGAAGAACCACAAATAAAATATTTTGATACTGAATTGGGTTAAATACAATAAGAAACAATAGTACATGATACCTATCTTTCATAGTTAGACCTTGAAACAAATTTTAAACTATCCTTAAAATATTTGAATAAAAATATGCTAATGAAAATACTTAGTGTAGGCCCTGTGTGGTTGAGATTAAAGGTTGCACACACCTTTAATCTCAGCAACTATGAGGCTGAGGCAGGAGGATCACCATGAGTTTGAGGCCACTCTGAGCTAGACAGTAAATTCAAGGCCAATTTAAACCATACAGTGAGACCTTGTATCCAAAAACAAAGACACAAACAAAGAAACCTACTCTGTTTTCAGTTAGATACTTTGAGAATTACGATAATGTGATTTTTTTCCCCCAGAACAACTAGCTGCATATGGTGGCACATGTCTGTAATCCCAGCCTTTGGGAGGCTGCTATTGCTGTGAATTGGAGGCTAGTCTAGCTATATAGTAAGTTCAAGGCCAGCTGGAAATGTATAGCAAATCTTGTCTCAAAAAACCAAAAAATAAATATTTACTTGTTTAGTTTTAAGTATTGAAGGTTGATTCTAATTTGTATATCAATATATTGAAATTACTCAACAAAAGTTTGAAAACCAATAGAATAGAGATTTGGTTCAGAAACTGCTTCTGTGCTATATATTCAACAATTTCTCGGTAACTGATGGGATTCTCTTACATTACCTATTCATAGGAATACTTACTGAATCTTGCAGAATGATTTACTGAACATTTTATTTCAAAATTCAGCCTCTGATGTCATAACCATAAAATGTCTTTATTCAACAGTTTGTAAGCATACTACCATATATTTTTACCACCTCTTCATAATCTTATGCTTTATATAGATTTATAGTGTCATATTTGTTTTTTAGATACTATAATAATTAATGGAATGAATTTAATTTTTTTTCCATTCTTTTTCCCTCAGTTTATTTCTTTTTATCTTCCCACTGATAGTCTTTGGCAGCTCTTCAATAAATTCTACCTGTTGGTGTCAAGAGAGAAAAAAATTAGTCCAGAAGCTTTTATCTTTAGATAAAACCGATTATATAGTTTTATTATGAATTCTATGTGAAAGAAAGGGCACCCATTGAGGTTGTTTTTGATAAAACATGAAGAAAGGGCTATCGTTGATTTTTTTTGTTTGTTTTTTTGTTTTTGTGGTGCTAGGGATTGAATCAAGGCCTTTGCACTGAACTAAATCCCTATCCATATTTCATTTTGAGACAGGCTCTTAATAAGTTACCCGGGCTGGGCACAAACCTATGATCCTCTAGCTTCTCCCTCTCAAAATTCATAGATAACAGATGTGCCTCTTGCCCATCTGATTTTTCTTGGTATTTAGTATTTACTACAAGTCCAATGAACCAAATGATTGAATAAGTTAGAGTAAGAATATTACTGTAATCTCAACAATTCTGATTCTTACCTATATGTTGTTAGTTCCATTTGGAATATTTTGTGTAGCATCTTTGAAGAGAATGTTCAGTGTAAAGGGGAAAAAACATTACATTTTTTAGAATACTGAATGAATATTTACCATAATTGGGATGCCTACCTTTCTGGGGTATTTGTAAGGTGCTGTAGTTTTTTTTACATGCTCTTGAATCTCCTTTATCAGTTGCTCTTCATCATGTGACTTGTAATCAGGGTTCAGAACAATAAAAGCTTTTACTACCTAAAATAAATGTATGAAACGTCAGGAAAAAGAGTTGCATATTTTTGTTTATTTTAGTGTGTCCTACTTACTTTTCTAACTCAGAATCCTCCTGTTTGGTGGACTGAACCAGACGTTAAATACAGCTTAATCTAATCTCTTAACTCTCAGACCTGATATAAACCCAATACAGGAAAGCCTCTACTTTGCTTCTGACCTCCTCTTGAATCCTCTCATCTGACTACAGTTTGAAATCTATTCTCTCATCAGTTTCTGATTATATCTGTCCTTGACTTTTTGCCTCATCTTTTCTCTTTCTTTCTTTTTTTTTTTTTTTTTTTTTTTTTTTACCGGTACCAGGGATCAAACTCACAACCACGCGCTTGCAAGGCAGGCGCTTATGCCGCTGAGCTAAATCCCCAGCCCCATCTTTTCTTTCAGTGAAGTTTCTTCTTAGAAAGCTGGAAATGCACTAAGCCCCTCATGCAACAACACAGTCTGGTCCAACCCAGCTATTAGCACCCTACCTTCAAGATAACCTTTATAAACAATAGTCATTCTGGGTTTGCCATATCGTGTAGAAGAGAACAGCTGACTGAGACCATGTTCACTTTAAAGTGACTTGAAGATTCCAACAGCCACTTTTCTGCACTCTGACCCTTTGACATTGGTTCTAAGGAACAAGAATGAATATGGTGGTAGCCTAGCTCTGTAACTGGCAGAAGATAGCGTAGAATTCATCACTGTATGCTCACACACCCTGTTCCCCAAAGTTCATTGAAATGTGTTGGGAAATTCCTGCCTAGAGTTTTTGGACCTTAAATAGAGAAGACAGGCTGTACCTTATGTATAGTTCCTTTGAAGGGTATATTTGGAGTCTTGTCAATCATAATCTCTCCTGAGATACTGCTAGCATTACCATTTGTTGCTTCCCATGGAGGTGTGACTCTGAATGAATCAGCTACTACCTAGCACGTCCAGATCCAGATTACCAGCTGTAGAATTACCCTTTGCTTCAGGGGCATAGTCCAGAGTCCCCTTCAACTGTTTCATGATCAAATCCTGCACTCAGGTGACTGAAATATTAAATGTATAGTTCCATATGCTTGGACTAAAGAATAAACTGGCAGTATTTCCTGTATACTCTGATCTGCGAGTCAGGATTGACTGAAAATGAATTATTTGAAACATATCACTCAAGGTAGGTGGTCTCTTCCTGTGTCTTGGCGTCTACTGTGTGTCGGGGGAGAGCTAGACGTTTGCTGGACCGCATTTTGTGGCTTCTATTCGCTGTGGACTGCTTAGAAATAACCTAGGAGCTCCTCAGCCTCCGCCAGGAACGCGTCCCGGGCCGGCCCGCCGCCGCTGTCGCTGCCGCCTGCCCGCCCGGCGCCCCCGACCCGAAGGTGGGGGACAGACCGGGCCCCGCGGGCGTCGCCTCAGCCCGCCGCCGCCGCCTCCCGTCACTGGAGCTGCGGCCGCTGCGACTCCGGCGAGCGCGGCCGGAGCGCAGGGCCCGTACCCAGCAGCGCCTGGCCGTCGGTGTGCGGAGGAGGAGCTGCGCGGACCCGGAGCCGCCTGCAGAGGCCCCGTCCTTTGTCTGGAGGAGGAGGGGTCCCGGGTTCCTGGGGCACCTCGGCCCGTACCCAGCAGCGCCTGGCCGTCGGTGAGCGGAGGAGGAGCTGCGCGGACCCGGAGCCGCCTGCAGAGGCCCCGTCCTTTGTCTGGAGGAGGAGGGGTCCCGGGTTCCGGGGGCACCTCGGCCCGTACCCAGCAGCGCCTGGCCGTCGGTGAGCGGAGGAGGAGCTGCGCGGACCCGGAGCCGCCTGCAGAGGCCCCGTCCTTTGCCTGGAGGAGGAGGGGTCCCGGGTTCCTGGGGCACCTCGGCCCGTACCCAGCAGCGCCTGGCCGTCGGTGTGCGGAGGAGGAGCTGCGCGGACCCGGAGCCGCCTGCAGAGGCCCCGTCCTTTGTCTGGAGGAGGAGGGGTCCCGGGTTCCTGGGGCACCTCGGCCTGTACCCAGCAGCGCCTGGCCGTCGGTGTGCGGAGGAGGAGCTGCGCGGACCCGGAGCCGCCTGCAGAGGCCCCGTCCTTTGTCTGGAGGAGGAGGGGTCCCGGGTTCCTGGGGCACCTCGGCCGGTACCCAGCCGCGCCTGGCCGTCGGTGTGCGGAGGAGGAGCTGCGCGGACCCGGAGCCGCCTGCAGAGGCCCCTTCCTTTGTCTGGAGGAGGAGGGGTCCCGGGTTCCTGAGGCACCTCGGCCTGAGCCCAGCCGCGCATAGCCATCTGCGTGCAGAGGAGGAGCGGGGTAGATCCGGAGTGCCCGCAGGAGGCCCTTCCTTTGTCTGGAGGTTTGTGGATATCTCTGCCAGCAGGGAGGGATCACAGGCTCCTGAGGCACTGCGGTCTGTGGTGAGTACCCTAACCCGGCTGCGATCCAAGAGCTGTGGATCTACCAAGGGGCAGGTGGGTGCACAGTGTCCCTGAGGCCCAGCTTGTCTGGAACCGCGGAGTTCTGATCAAGCAGAGAAGGGCCATTGGTTCTGCAGGCCCAATGGCCTGGGGTAGAGGGGTGCCAGAGTCTCAGTAGCTGCAAACATAGAAGGGGATTTTCAACAGATCCTGAGGAGGCTTTCAAATAACACTTGAAACACAGAAATATAGGAAAATGACAAAACGAAAGACCAAATTACAACCTCAAACCTCCAGCCCAACTCAGGAAACCCTAGGAGAAGTGTATTTAGAAGAAAATATATCCCATCCTCCTCATATATTAGACACAATAGCTACTGAAGTTGACAAGCAACTCCAGGAAGCTTTAAAGAAATTCAAACTCGAAATAATTTCTCAGATAAAAGAAGAAATGATAAAAGAAATGAAAGAGATTCTAAATATATCTAAAGAAAACACAGATAAAAAATTGGAGGAATTAAACAAAAAGATAGAATCCCTAGACGAGCAATATAAGAAACAAACAGAATACATAATGCAGATGCACAGAGATATACAGGAAATAAAAAACTCCACTGAAAGTTGTAAAAACCGCCTTAATGAAAGTGAAGACAGAATTTCAGACCTTGAAGACAGGATTGCAGCAAGTGAACAGGAAAGGAAAGATCTTTTAAAAATAACAAGGAATCAGGAAATAACAATTCAACAACTGCAAGATGATGCAAAGAAGAATAACATAAGAATGATAGGGATTAATGAAAAAGAAGGAGACAACATAAAGGATATCAAGAGGATATTTAGAGAAGCAATAGCTGAAAACTTCCCAAGCATGAGATCAGAAACTGACATCAGGATCAGTGAAGCATATAGAACTCCAAATAGTCATAACCAAAATAAAACTACACCCAGACATATAATAATCACCATCCCAGAAATCCAACACAAGAATAGATTATTAAAAGCTGTCAGAGAGAAAAGACAGATCACTTATAAAGGAAAACCTATCAGAATCACAGCAGACTTCTCAGCACAAACAATAAAGTCAAGAAGAGCATGGAGTGAAGTATTCCAGATCCTAAAGCAAAATGATTTCCAACCTAGACTGATATATCCTGCAACACTATCATTTAAAATAGATGGTGAAATACGAAACTTCCATGACAAAGAACAGCTGAAGAACTTCATGAACACCAAACCAACCCTGCAAAAAATATTGAAAGACAGTTTAGATACACAAAGGAAAAAACCACTAAGCAAAGCAAATAATTAAACAGAACAGAAAGATAAAGATGCAACAACAGAGAGATAAGAATCCTACAATTAAACAACATTTAACAGTAATAACCATTAATGTAAATGGTCTCAATGCACCAATCAAAAGAAACAGACTAGCAGAATGGATCAAGAAACAAAATCCAACCATATGCTGTTTACAGGAAACCCATCTAACCCAGAAGGATACTCACAGACTGAAAGTCAAAGGATGGAAAACAATTCTTCATGCAGCAGGAATCCAAAAAAAGGCAGGAGTAGCCATTCTGTTTGCAGACAACGTGAACTTTAAACCAACAATGACCATAAAGGACAAAGAAGGTCACTACATACTCGTAAGGGGAAAACTCCAAGAGGAAGAGATAACTATCTTAAATATATACGCACCAAACTCCAGAGCGCCCAGTTATATAAAACAATTATTAACAGAAATGAAAACTCAAATTATCAGTAACACAATTGTAACGGGAGACCTTAATACGCCATTGACACCAAGGGACAGATCGACCAGACAGAAAATGAGTAAAGAAATAACAGAACTGAATCATACCTGTGAACAAATGGGTTTGATAGACATATACAGAATGTTCCACCCAACAACATCAGAATACACATTCTTCTCAGCAGTACATGGATCATTTTCTAAAATAGACCATATATTAGCTCATAAAACATATTTAAACAAGTGCAAAAGAGCTGAAATCATCCCTTGCATGTTATCGGATCACAGCGCTCTGAAATTAGAAATTAATGATAAAAGATACCGCAAAAATCCCACAAACACATGGAAACTGAATAACACACTCTTGAGTAATCAGTGGGTCACAGAAGAAATTAAAGAAGAAATCAAACAATACCTAAAAGAAAATGAAAATGCAGATACAACTTACCGGAATCTGTGGGATACAATGAAAGCCGTTCTGAGAGGAAAATTTATTGCACTGAGTTCCCACATCAGGAAAACAGAACGAATACAAATAAATAACTTGATGCTACACCTCAAACAGCTAGAAAAGGAAGAGCAAGTCAAGCCCAAAGCCAAAAGAAGAGAGGAAATTATAAAAATCAGAGCAGAAATCAATGCAATAGAGACTAAGAAAACAATCCAAAGGATCAACAAATCAAAGAGTTGGTTCTTTGAAAGAATAAATAAAATCGATAAGCCCCTAGCCAACCTTATTAAAAAAAGGGAAGAAAAAGCTCAAATTCATGCAATAAGAAATGAAAAAGGAGAAGTCACTACAGACCCAATAGAAATACAGAAGATCATCAACACCTATTTTGAAAACCTCTACTCTCAAAAGTTTGATAACACAGAAGAAATAGACAGT